TTTATTTTTAAATTCTTTTAAAATACATTTTATTGTAACTTTTTTATTTTTGAATGTAAATTTACATAGAAAAATTATTGCTTTACGGAATCAGCAGGGGAATGCACTAGTTTTCCATAATGCATTTATTTATTTAAAAATTTTATAAATTTTTACATTAAGCGGGTATTCAAAATTTAAATTAATTTAAATTTAAATTAATTTAAATTAAATGGCTAAATAAATAATACAAAAATTATAACCCCTAAGCGTTATAACTCCTCCATTGACGAATTGAAATCAGTATAATCTTTTTATAACCACATCGCTAGGGACTATTTTTGTACTCTAATGTTTTGCCAACTTCTCTCCGACATAGTAATATTAAGAATGAAAAAATAGAGGATGAAGTTGGAGGGAGCGTCGAGATTTATTTAATCGTTATAAGGTAGAGTTGGCCGGTATCGGGATCCAGACACAAAATCAGTCCACACAAATTCAGTATCGGTACCGGCTTCGGTATCGGGATTGACCAAAGCCGGTATCGTGGTTCCAAATTTTTTGTTAATACCGAAATACCGATCGGTATCGGTATTGGAAAATCGGTATCGGTATTTAAAAACCGGTATAATACCGCTCGATACCGGCTGACTCTATTATAAGGATAAATATTTTCAGGATTAATATGAAAATTAACAAAAATATTATTATTTATCTTTTACTGATTATCGTATTGTTATTTAATTTTATTTTAACGGTTCGACGACCAAAAAATAAAAAATGTCAAAATAAAGCTAAAAAATCTTATCCAATTTATATTAAAAAATTAAAATTATTTGTTGAAAGAGAAAAAGAGAAAAATAATTGCAACCAAAAAATTGATAAGGATTTGTATCCAAGTGAGAAAGAGCAAGTAAAATTGGTTAAAGATTATGAAAATACAAATGAACAATATTCAAAAGCTTTGAAATTAATTAATAACAAATCAAAATATAATATTCAAATACTTGATAGAACTAAAGATAGCCAACTTAACGTAAATAATTCTAAAAAATTTTATTGCTAGGATGGCAAGTATAAAATCCCAATGAGCGCGAGGCCAACGTACAACAGAGCTATAACTTCGTTCTGGTCAAATCCTGGACGCTCTGATATGGTTCGTTTCACCTCGTCGTGATGCATGTTTTTCGATTTCGGGGACCTATAGGCAGCTCCGGAAAAAAAGAGCGGTACCGTTCGACTTAGCTCGTTGAGACGAATCGAATGGTATGATTCTACCTTACAACCTGTATAATATAGTACAGCCGGAAAATTAACATTTTCTCCCCCATTCGAGGAGGAAAGGAAAAATTGGATGGCAGCATTAATTTCAGATAGGGCCATAAATTCTATAGTTATAAAATTATCAAAAAAATAAACTGTTTTTATTTAGATAGAATATATTCGAGGAATAATTGCTTTATACAAATATGGCGAGGTATCGTTTGATTATATCAAGGCCAACAGAGAATTTATACAAGTTGTTTTGGCCGTGCATAAAATATGCCTCTACAAATGCGTTCCTTCGAAGAAGAGAGAAATATTGTTTGATTTTTTGTTATAAATTATAATTCACTCCCTTATAATTCACCCCTTAATTGTAAATCGTTTCCGTTTAACAAAACTACAGAAGAAAGTAATTTAACCTTTACTACAGTGCTAAATAGGCAATAGTTTGGTTCTGCAGATGTGTATTTTTATGATTTAAATATCATTTAAATATCCTTAATTAATAATCTTCGAGTTGGGTCTAATGATACTAAGATAAGATATACAATTTGATCATTCTGAATAAAATTATAAAGCTAAATCCTCGATGGAAATCTCTTCGTGCCGATGCAAAGGGGTTAAAACAAAAGGTTATAACTTTGTTAATTTAAGTCGGATCTCGTTGGTTTTAGTGCCTTCCGACACAGCTCGAAGAGCTCTTTCGAATTTTATACTGAGAAAATAGAAAAGAATAAAAGGGTGGGGGTCAGCCGAACTATTACCAAGTGTAGTTGCAAGACTCAAATCAATGGTCTTGAACATAATCCTATATTTATTTAAGCCTTCCTATAAAAAAGAATGTTTTTGATATGCTTAAATATAGAATAAATAAAAATTTAAATATGATTGAAGTTAATGAGGAAACTGTTAATAAAGTTCGCAATATTTTAAAGAGATTACACAGGGAAGCAGTTATAGAAAATCAGAAAGACATCTCTAGTTCTGAAGAATTGTTGGGAGATAATTCTGATGAGGAAAGAGAATTACAGACATTGGAAGAACCGAATAACAACCCTCTTAATTTTCAACCGATGCAAGAAGAGGAAGAAGATGATTATTGGATTAAATGGAATATGGAAACAATGGAAGAAGTTAATGACGATAAATTAAAGAAAGATTAATTAACGATTATTTTTAAAAAACTAATCTATTGTTATATTCTAGTTTAATTTTAATTATAAGATTCTACTATATATTTTTCAATATTTGTTTAAAAGCCTGTTACTTTTAGAACAGAAATAATAGAACAATTTCTTAACTTTTTGTCTATAATGAAAACAATTATGAAAGTTGTTCTATTTTTACATTTTAGATTTTATTATTTAATTTATCTATAAACCCATATGTAAATAAATATTTAATCATGCAGTCGAATAAAAAGAGCAAATTTTTACACAGGCGAAATTTAAAAAACTTTAAGTATAGATTTACACTTAAAATTTTTTAATTTTCATTAGAGCCATGAATTTTGTGCTGCACGGTATTCCGTACTGAAAAACCGAAAAATACCGATAAAATTCAAAATTTTACCGTACCTATACGATACGATACGGTTACTATCTGAAATACTACCGATACGGAATACCGAAAAATAGAGTCATAGTACGGTACCGTCCGGGCTCTAATTTTAATTAATTTTTCAAAACCAATTTTAACCTATAAAATTTATCTTTAAAGAAATAAAATTTATTATGTCGATAGAGAATGAATTGAATTTTCAAAATCGAATCTGAATTGGCCGAGAAATGATCATGATCGAAACGTTTTGAATTTAAAAAAAAGTGACACCTGCTTCATTCCGCAGTTTACGTAACCATTCAAAAAGCGACAATACGCCGACGTATTTTTCTCTCTTCATCTCCCATCATCTTTTTCTTCTGCCGCGTTTTAACATGCTGACACGACAGAATCAAGATAAATTTTATTTCCATAATTTTGGCTTAAAAAACGGAAATCTCAACGGCCATAAAATTAAAATAAAAAATTTTTTATTTTTGTATATCTTTTTATTTGATCATCTTTTTTAGCTTATAAATTTTAAATCGTTTACCATAAACCACGTTGCATTAAAAGCCAACGTTGGATTTTAGCTAAATATAAGCTTATAAATATTATAATGACTGAAGGGTATAAACATAATTATTACCAGCTTTTATTTAATTCCTCATTAAAATATGGTTAGTTACTATATTTTTTAAAATTATTCGACCCTCACACAATGCTAGTTAAAACTAAATTTAAGATGATTTTATTAATAGTTGATTGCCTATTATGTGGGAGAGTTATTTTAGCTATCTTATTCGAGAAAACCACGTTATATCTATAATACAATTTTTAAATCTAAGAGTTTATTCTAGAGTTTACTTGGACCAAAGTAATCCAAGAATTCATTTTGGTCAGTGCTTTGGACTTTATAGTGCATATTTTATGTCCATATTTCACGATTGATCGTCCATATAAATCCGAGCCCAAGTTATAAAGCCAGAATTATCCAAAACTCAAGTGAAGAGTAATAGTCGTTCAAAGTAATGGAAGTTCTTAAAGATATACGAACACCATAAACGGCCATTCACAGATAGATAAAGGCGTCATTATCTAAGCTTAAATTTTAGAGCCATTAGTTAATTCTTGATAAAACGTTTGGGAAGTAAGATGGATTAAGCTCTGAAAAGACTATATCTCTTGCTGAAGGTTTCCGGCTATTCAGCTGAAAGTTGCCGGCTAAACTCTTCACTTTATACTAAACTCACTACCCTAACAATTATGATTTATACCAGATAATAATTCGAATTGTTTCAGAATTTTCCTTGTCTACTTTGCTTTGTATTGCTTTCTCTCATACAAAACACTCTTCAATCTGATGAATTTGATATATTTGAAAAGGAATTTGATTTTGACTTTGATATCGATAAAGATATTAAATCCTTCGTTGAATCATTTAATTTACAAGATTTTACTTGGAAGGTAATTTGCAAATAAAAATTTATTTTTAAAATTTTATTCAGGCAAAATTCAACGAGAAATTTGCAAATATGACGTCGGATACCAGAAAACTATTTTGTGGTGTAAACACAAAATCACCGAAAGCTCCTGCATCTACGCCAAATTTTAAAACAAACAGCAAATTACGATCAAAGCGTTCAAATCCCTCCTGTACTTACAATATTGAATTTGATTCAAGAAAACAATGGCCACAATGTGCAGATATAATTAACATCATTAGAAATCAAGGCCAATGTGGGGATTGTTGGGCAGTGGCAAGTTCATCTACGTTCACTGATCGGTTCTGTATTGAGAGAGCTAAGAAAGGCTTAAAAACGCCTGTCTCTGATCCGGATAATCAATCATCTGATGAGGAAATTCTTAGTTGCACACCATCAACTAGCGGGTTAATAGCTTAAAATTAATTTATACCACTAAAATAAATCTAGATGTAAGGGTGGATCTCCCTACTATGCTTGGCAATACATGCAAAATAGTGGTGTAGTCTCCGGATCAAATTTCGAACAAAAGACCGGTTGCAAACCATATTCTATTAATCCAGAAACTCCTGGTCCTCTTCCTACACCTCAATGTGTCTCGAAATGTACCAATTCTAAATGGCCAATTCAATATAATAATGATAAGAAATTTGGTAGTTATACGTAGTATATTAAGCCACTTGTCACATTCAAAATACTTTAGCTATATCAACTGGTGAGATTTGGCAGAATATGGCTGTTTCAGAAGCAGTTAAGACAATGAAGGCCGAAATTAAAGCAAACGGTCCAATTACGGGTATAATGGATGTTTATGATGATTTCTATCATTATGGTGAAGGAGTTTATAAGGTAATATAAAACCGCAATTTTCTCAAGAGTCAAAATTTTTAATTTAATTATGAATATCAACTTAATAAAATTTAAGAGAACAACAAACAAAAATCCACAAGGACATGCAATTCGTTTAATTGGTTGGGGAACTCAAACATGTTCAGGAAAAGTCCAACCATTTTGGCTTGCTATTAATTCATGGGGAAAAGACTGGGGAATGAAAGGAGTATTTATGATTGCTCAAGGAAGTAATGAATGCAAGATTGAAACTTGGGGAGCTTATTTTGGGAAACCTAAAGTTTAAAAGTCGAAATTTTGTGTATCAGTGTTGCCGCGGGTACTTAAAATCTTCGGGTAAGGGTTCCGGGTTATAAAATTTTCATTTCAGGTCAAAGGTTTCGGGGAGGCAAAAATATCGGGTCACGGGTTTGGCGAAAAATTCGGGTTATTTTCGGGTGTTCGGGTATTGGTAAACTAAATTGTAATGAGATAAGCTATGTTGCATAATAGGATTTTGGGTGTTATAGAGAGGCAAATTTGAAGAGATTAAAGAGACATTGTGGGATTTAGGTGATTAAAAGGGATATCAGGGAATTTGGAGATTAAGAGGGATATCTGGGTATTGAGGGGATTACCCCCTTTTTCATTCGAATTTTTTAGGAAAATTCGACACTTTTTGGATAGGATTAAGAAAGATTGTGAAGAAAGACCTCCAAGCATCCTATACCACTTGATATATATTCAAATCCCTTCAATTGTAAGGCAATGATATAAGATGATTAAGGCAGATATAATGATTTAGTAGGTCCCTTGATAAAATCCCACTATATACTAATACTCCTCCGCTTTATCTCCATTAAAGCCTCCAATTTTCTCCCGTTTTCAGCGCAGCAGGCATAAATTTTGATAATATTAAAAGACCAAGAAGACGGATATTCTGAGAATTTCGGAAGGCCACTGGGCAATATTTCTTCTTATTTCAGCGCCACAGGCAAAAATTTTGAAAATTTCGGAAATTCCTCTTTCGGAAATTTCGGAAATTCCTTTTTGAAAATTCCTCTTTCTACATTTTCTCTTTCTATAATTTTTTAATTTTATTTTTAAAAAATCGGGTAAGGCTAAGTTTCGGGTAGAAATTTCGGGTTTTAACCAATTTTGGGTCATGGGTTTCGGGTACAAAAAATGCCTGTTTCGTGTTTGGGTTTCGGGCGGCAACCCTGATGTGTATTTTAGAGCTGTCCAAGACCAAAAATTTTCCAAAACTCTAGACCAATAAATAGACCCAAGACCAAGACAAGACCACATAACTCAAGACCGAAAAGCCCCAAGAAAAGTCTTGAGTCAAGACACAAGACCAAGATTCTTGGACAGCTCTAGTGTTATTAATATGTATGTTTACCATTGTGTGGTATAAATTAATTTAAATAAATCACTGGATATCACAAATAAATTTAACTGAATAAAATATGTATATATTTTAATTTTAAATAATAATACTTTAGATCCATCCTTATCCCTCTCTATCCTTATCCCCCAGCTATTAATCCAGCAAACTTGAACGTTGTTGTGTTGGACTGTGTTTTAGCCTAACACCAACGAATTGAGCGTACCACCCTTTATATAAAATTAAACAAAAAACCAAGCATACATATGTACTACATACATACATCTGGTGTATAATATAAATAAAGATTTCAACAGATTAATTTTTTAATATTCAAAAAAAACATTTTGACTAGTATAAGTACATACATTAAAAGAAAAATAAAATAAATATGAGTTTGTTTACCTCAAATTATTTTTGGATATTTGACCCGTTGCCTCTTATGTTGACCTGATTTTTTTGGTAATTTATTTTGGCATTTTTCCAATCCTAGTCAGGCATATACATACATATTTATGTCTAGCCTAAAAATGTTTCAATTTTAGTTTGCTTTTTTTGGCCACTCCCCCTTATTTATTTTGCCCCTCCCCTACTTTTATATTTTTGAAGAACCTTTCCTTCATTCATTTAATTATTACATCATTCTAATTTTTATTTCATCCATCTAATCATTTTACGTAAATACCTCTATTATAAAACATATAAAGGCACAAACTGTGGGACATGAGTTCCAAAAATTTATTTTTTTAATTTTAACTTACATATATGTACTTAAGCTAGCCCCAATATCCACACAAATAAATAACTTTATGAAGAATTTTTAAATTAATTGTTTTGTGTTCATTAATATTTCCCTATTTACGGCCATTGTAGGAGGACATTAGGATAAGATTTAAAGATTATTAAAAAAATTTTTAATTTTTTGAATATTTATAACAAGAAACTCGATCCAATAAATGTGTTTATTTTGAGGTTTTGACGTTTGTTTTGTGTTCCATAATATTTTTTGTTAATTTATACCTATTTATAAGGCTATTGAGGAGGGATATTCTGATAGCTTATGTATTAATATAAATTTCAATTATTTAATGATTAATCGAAAATTTTCAAGAACTAGCCAAAAGTTATGTGTATAAGTTAATATGTAATGTCCCAGACTTAGGTCAAAACCTGAGTCCCAAAAATCCAACCTCGAAAAATTAAGTAAAAACGTTTTCGAGAAGCATTTACTAGAGATTTTTATATTTTTATGTTGATTTTATTTTTTTAATTTTTTAAGACTTAAATTTAAAATTTTGTTTTGAAATTAAAAATGGCTGAGAACAATTCTGACAGAGATTTGGAGGTAATGAATAAAAAATTTTATAAACAAAAAATTAGTATTCACGACCGGATTTAAAACCTTTAATGAGTTTGTTATCCTCAAACTTAAGGAAGAGACCGGAATAATTCGATCTATCTCGAGTAGTTCTGTTGAACTTGGGGCAAAATAAGATTTCATTCTCTCCAATATCCACACAAATAAATAATAATTTAACGATAATTTGAAAGCTAATAATCGGTTGTAAACTCCCATAATTCCCCTAATTCCTCCACAGCCATAACCTCCTCCCCCCAAGAACCCACAAAAGAAATTAAAATTTCTTTTGAAAATAAATTTGTTAAAAATTTTTAAAAGGTTGATGAGACAAATAATAAATTTAATAAAACAAATTATCAACTTGCTGTTGAACTTGAAGAATTAAAAAATTTTGTGTTTAAAAAAGTGGTTGGTTTTTGTAAAAATTTTTATTAATTTCAATGGGCAAAACATGTAATATGTATGTAAAAATTCTCTCCATTATATACTATATCCACCCCTTCTAGTAGAGTTATAGGTTCGGGACCAGGGTGTTCGCAGTTTTGGACTGCGTATTGGCTAAATTGAGTGGTTTTTGGACTTGCGAAATGTGAATTGCGGCTGCGGATTTTATAAATAAATTGCAAATTTTTTCATTTGCGGACAGTCCTGGTCGACACCAGGGCTGTGCGCCATGGCGTTTTGCGTTTTGGCGTTAATTTTGGCCGATTTTTGGCGTTTTGCGTTTGTCGTGATTTTCTGATTTTGGCGCGCCAAACGCCAAAAATATACACCCCTAATGATGGAATTTTTTTAAATAAATGGAGTAAGGGATGATCGAAAAAGGAAATTTTTCTGCGTACAGTCATCCAAAATTCTCAAAATTTTCGCCTGCGGCGCATAAAAAATGAAGAAATCTACTGCTTGGACTTCCAAAATTTTCGCCTGCGGCGCTTAAAGGAGGAAGCCCTTATCTTAAACTAATAGATTGTAGAAAAAACTTTGGTAATATTGAACGTGACAGACCCCCTTTTTTCCTCCCCAAGTTTTGCCCTGTATTTTCACAGAATGGTCAGACTTTTTCCTTTCTCCCTTCCCAATTGCCTTTCTACAAATCCTACAATCAATCATAAACAACAGTTTTTCCTTGATTCCTTCCCAATTGCCAAAAGTTGTTCCATTTTTTTATAAATTGAGAACAAAATTAATACTCCTCTTACTTTTTTGCATATACTTTAACTTGTATAAAATTAAATAATCCTTTTTGTTAAATATAGAAAGGCAATTGGGATGGGAGAAAGGAAAAAGTCTGACCATTCTGTAAAAATATAGGGGAAAAACTTGGGGAGGAAAAAAGGGGGTCTGTCACGTTCAATATTACCAAAACTTTATTCCCGTTAATCGTTTACTCTCTTCATGACCTCTGTTATACTCATCACTCCCTTTATCCCTTCATATCCACCTTAATCTCAAGGAGTTCTATGAATTTCTTATTTTTTAAAGGATGAATTTCGGCTTTTTTTGCCTCCAAAATTCTCAAAAATTTCACTCCGGCGGTAAAAAAGGATGAATTCTGGCTTCTGGGAATCTTGAAAATTAAAAAAATTTCGCCTGCGGCGCTAAAATGAGATGAACAGTAATTTTTAAGTCTTTATAGACTCTAAAAATTTTGGCGTTTGGCGTTTTGGCGTTGATTTCGGCCGATTTTTGGCGTTTGGCGTGTTTTTAAAATTTAAAAAATTGGCGTTTGGCGCGCCACTCAGTTAAATTGCTCGATCCAATGCATATTTTTAGTTTTTTGTCGCATATTAAATACAAAAATATTTTTTTAGCATTTTGTTCAAGTTCCAAATAAATGGAAGTTTTTTGTTAATAATCGAGTTTGTTGGGAATTTACTTGTGTAAATTCAAATTCATCTAAATGTGCATGTGATAAAGGAAATGGATTTATACAATTAATTGATGATGAGAATATTAAATATATTAAATGTGAACAATCAATGTTTGGATGGATAGCCAGCATGTTCGGCTCCCTTAATGGTTAGTAGAATAAGAAATGGAATACCGTTTATGCCGTTTATCTGAGACCCGTATACCGTTCCGTTTAATTTTACCGAAAAACACGTATACCGTTTACCGTTTAGCTAAACGGTTTTGTGCAACCCTAGTTAATGGAATAAAAGACTAAAAATTATTACGCCCCCCGCCCCTGTAACTTACAGATTTTGTGAATTTTGTTAACCCTTGGCGGCCGATCAATGTTAGAGACTGAACATAACTGTACGAGTTACTAGAAGTAATTACGAGGACATTTGAATGATAAACAGGAAATACCGGATGATTTGGGAGAATTAAGAGAGATTGATTTTGCGTAACCCTACCAAAATATAAGATCACATTCCCCCAAGACAGTCTAACATCAACTTAGTTAGACTGTCTTGACTGTCTAACATCCACATCCATGTAAGAGTTTTCATCTTTCAGATACGTCCGGTTTACTACTTTCTTTATTAAATTCTGTTGAGATTATCCCGGTTGCATTTCTCTTTGTTTCGGTACAGAGAATAAAATTTTGGAGGGATTTTCATGGAAATTTTTAATAAGGTATACCTAAAATTCCATAACTTTCTTAATCCTTAATCCAAAAATTTTTGATTTTACTATATAGTATGATAGAGAATATCGAAGTTTCATAATAATTATTATTCATGATAAAATTATTATTTAGGCGAATCTATAATATATTAAATTTGTTTATCTAATAATTTAATTTAACAATTTCAGTTAAATTAAACATAAGGATATTAACATAAGGATATAACAACATTATAGATAAACAAATTTAATATATTATAGATTCGCCTAAATAATAATTTTATCATGAATAATAATTATTATGAAACTTCGATATTCTCTATTCGATATTCTCTATCATACTATATAGTAAAATCAAAAATTTTTGGATTAAGGATTAAGAAAGTTATGGAATTTTAGGTATAAAATGAGTAAAATGAGTAAATTTTTTAAAAATAATGAGAATTAAATAAAGTACGGTAACTTTTTTATCCACCCTGTAATACCTATTTCGGGGGAATTATAATTTTGAAAATACAAAAATTATCGCCTGACCAAAAAAGACTAATTTAAGTTTTCCTCTACCGATTTCAGATAACAGTAATACCTTAGTTTGGCAAATTATTAAACAAATATTATAAAATAAATATGCCTACAATTTTAGGAATGAATAAACTTTATTTTGTTGTATCAGAAAATACATTCAACAAACCAACAAATGATTGTTCTACTTTTACTTCATTTTATTTTGAAGTAAAAATTAAATTTGAAAATGAAAATAAAGATGATATTTTGATGGTGTTTGGTCTTATTAGGGATAAGGAAATGGTTTATCTTAGCAAAACTTGTGATGCTATTTGCTATGGACATATGGGACAAGTGGGGAAAATTCCATTCCCTTCATTAACATTTAACGATGGCGATACTTATGGTTGTGGAATAATTTATTCACCAACAAAGATGACTGGAATATCACCAACACGTATTTTCATTACTCAAAATGGTCAATTAATTGGTTAGTAATTTAATATAAAGAGTTCCATTCCGAACTTTAAAGGAGGGGATGGGGTTTTCACCTTTAAGAAAATATTTTAAGCGGAAGAATTTTGTCATGGTTCGCCATCAAGTTATTATAGGGATAAAAAAAAATATTAAAAATTTCCTACACAGAAATCCATAAAAACAGTTCAAAGTTCCTTAACCACTCTTAACTTTCTTGCTGGTTGGCATTAACAGATAAACCCATTCTAAATGCTTAATCTGGAATAGAATTCCAACTTTGCATATTAAAAACATAAAATTCAAAAAAATATAGTAAATCATTCGCCGTAGGCACTTAAAATTCAAATTTCGGCGCCGTAGACAATTATTTCAGTTAATTTCAGGCAATTATTTACATATGTATTTCAGTTCATTTCAGTTTTTGGGCAATATTTTGGCTTAAAAAATAGGTAGTGTTTCGCTAACGAACCGTAACAAATTGAAAACTGTTTCGTCATTAAACAAAACGAAACAGGAAAAACATAGGTCTGGTTCGGAATGGGCTTGGATAAAATTTTTTAAATTATTTTTCGTAAGGTAAAGCTATAAAAGTAAAAGATGATAATAATTATACGCCTTGGATTCGGCTCAAACTTTGTTCTGTTGAAACTAATTTTGGAAATGGTTTAACCACCAAACCTTTCAAATATGATATTTCTAAACATATTGTGACGGATGAATTTTATAATTAAATCAACATTTGATTTTTTTACTTTAAAATTTTTTTAAAATTCTTTACATACATATATTCCGAAAATTTTATATTTTTAAAAAAAATTTTTCAATTAACCTTTTCATAATAATCTCTTACAGCAAAGGTTTATTTTAATGACAGGCATGGGATTTTTCCTATAATTTTTTTTATTTAGGCACAGGATTTTTTTCATAATTTTTAATTTTCAGAATTAAATTACTTGGTTTACTCCCTCAAACATTTTTAAATTTCACTCCCTTCCGAATCTCCCAATTTCGATTTTGTCGGTCATTATTTCATATACTTTTGCCTAATACCTACATATTTTTAATTTCATGACATTTCTTTAAACATTTTTTCTAATGATTCTCTCTATTGTTTTTTCTCTTTAAATTTTTTTAATTTTTAAAAATTATTACATATTTTTTAGCCAATAAAAAATTTTTTCTAACTTGTTTTCTATCAAAAAACAGAATAACCGGAAGACTAAAGTTCTTAATATGTATATCCTTCCATACATGTATCCTTCCATAAGTATAAAGAACAAAATTTCCATTTAAATTTTCTCATTTTCTCTCACAGAAAGTGAAAAAGAGTTCAAAAAACATAGACCTAGTTCCTCTTACATATTTTTCCCAAGACTATGAAATTTCAAATGTTGTCCTTTGTTGGATAAAGGAAATCCCTTTAGGTTAAACAAAAATTTTTGTTAATATTTTTAAAAATTTGTTAGTTTATTCAAAATTTATTTGAGGTTATCTACTCTACCATTAGATTATCTAGAGAGAAAATTGTGAAGTCTTGAAACATTAAAATAAAAAAATTTTATAGTAGAAAAGATGTTTATGGTACCGTAAACCCTGTATTAATTACCCTCCCTCAAATAATTACCCCACTTCTATTAATTACCCCATCCAGCAATGGATTGAAACAATAATTACCCCCCCCCCCAACAAATGCCCTAAAACACGTTCAAATTTCAAACACGTATAATTACCCTCACTCGATTAATTACTCCCTCTAGCGGAAGGTTGAAACAATAATTACCCAGGGTAGTCTCTCTCAACTCTCTTAATTTTTAAAAATCCCTCTCTCAATTCCCTCTCTCCCTTTTTTTCTCAAAGAGAATTTATTTAAAATTACATGTGATCTGCTTTAATGGCACTTTTATTCAATTAAAATCAATGTCTTGTTTAAATGTGAATTTGCCTTCCCAGACAGCTTTAAAGGAAAAAACATTGATTTTAAAATAAATATTTCTCCTTTTAATGTCTACCTTTTAAAATAAAATTTTTAAAAATTAAAAAATGCTTTCAACAGAAAGTCAGGCTTCTTCAAATTATTTAAATTCGTCTTTAACGGTACCTGAATTTTATAAAATTCATAGTAACCCTGTCGAAACACCACCTTCAAATCTAGTAATTTTAAAATAATTATTAAAAACTATCGTGATCTAGGAAAATGTTGGAGAGATAATCAGAAAATCTAAAAACAATTATGTCCATATTTCAGCGTTTATTTATGTTATACGATTTAGCGTAGCACCCAGAGCCTTCGGGGGCGGGATCGGTGTTTGCCGAGGTAGAGCCGTCGGAGTTCGAGTCGGAGTTTTTGCCTAAAAGTTCATCGGGGGTCGGGATTTCGGGGAACGGGGTGCTACACTAATACGCATCCATATACTTACTAAAGATCGGAAAACCTTGACCTTGATTCTTGATTTTGGTTGAGAACCTTAACCAGATTCTTGGTCTTAAAGAAAAATAAAGGTCTAGAAACGCTGAAAAATGCTTTAATCTTGCCTTTGTATCCAGGAAGAAGTAAGTTTAAGGCCGATCTCTAATACTATATATTCTTGATTGATGAACCTAAAATGTATTTTTTCTCGGTTCTAAGAGTTCTTAGGATCTCCGCAGCCGAACCTAAAACCAAACCAAAAATTTTCGGTTCTTCAGTTCTGTTACGTGAATTGACATCTCGATTAGTCAGAATTACATTAGGTGAGGAAATTATGTAGTTGAGGGGGGGGGGGTACCTCAGAATAGCTTTGTAAACCGGTAGTTCCCTCAAATTGAATGAGTCATAGCAATTAAAATTTAAACTTCAAAATACGTAGAATTAAAATTTTTAAACAGACAGACTTGCGTGATGGATTGGGGCCTGATGTTTTATTGCAATTTAGCAATATTCAATTAAAATTATCAAATGGAACTGTGGTAAACTTTTAATATAGAGAATTTATTTTTAGAATTTTTTGGTTTAAAAATACTCGTTAAGTAGAACCAGGACGGTACCGTATTACCGACGGCATTTTTGGGAGAGAATTTATCGTATTTTGAAATAAGGTCAGGCTACAAAAATATCAGTTTAGAAGAATTCCAAAAAAAAATTTTTTTAATTTCCAGACTAGCCACCTTGACATTCCCTCACTTCGTTCATTTTGTTCAAGTCAGGATGTATCCGATTTTGCAAAATCATTGGGGGAATATATCGCAGAAATGGATTATGTCCCTATGTGAGTCTTTCTTCATCTGTCAAAATATTTTTTTTTAATTTAAGACCAATCAGCAGCAATATTACAACTTGGTTTTTACTTGCTGTTTTTATCTTTGTAGGGCTTTCAGGATTTGTTGGAAATCTGTTAACTGTTATGGTGAGGAAATAACATTTTCAGAATTATTAATAATTACTAGGGATCGGATTTTTGGGTTATAACTTTTTTCTGGAATAGTAGTTGTGAAGTGATAAACTCAGATCTGTTATTTTTTTAATACCTTATGTTTAAAGGAAGTTATTACTTATAAAATCAGATCGTGAAATTCTGAAAATTTATCGGGAAATTTAAACTTCAATTCTTATTTAGGGAATCTAGATTCCCTATCCAAAAATATTATCAACAACAGCTGAAATAAGCAACACATAACGTTACGAAAACTTTAAATGCAACTATAATCGTATTTTTGCATATTAAGTAGAATTTAATTATTATTTTTTTCTTCTTAAATCTAAATTCCTTCCATGTCCTATACTATACTATGAGTTTCTATAATAATCAAAAAATTTTTCCTTTTTTCAGGTAATACATCGAAACCCTTCATTTCATTCCCAAACCAACTACTTTTTAGCTAGTTTAGCTATATCAGATCTTCTTTTAATACTCGTTGGTGTCCCCTTTGATGTTTTCTTTTTATGGAAGTCCAGATTTATTACTTCACCTTTTAATGGATTTTGTGAAATAACAAGTAGAGTATCTCTTCAAAATTAGAAAAAAATATCTTTTAGGCACCTTTATTAGCTGGTTCACCTTCAATTCAATTCTCACTATTGTCAGTCTCACCTGGGAAAGATTGGTGGCTATTTGCTACCCTTTCAGTCTGAAACCTTTTTTCCATCGAGATGCTGTGGTATTATTGAAATAATTTTTTTGATATATGTAATTTTTAAATTGTTTCTACCTCAGATTTGGTTAATTATCATTATTTGGTTCATTTCATTCTTCCCATCATTATTCATTGGTTTGCAGGTACGATTAAAAATAATTGAATTTGTTACATTCACACATTCACATCTGATACTCGGAACACTTTACATTCATTTTTTCGTTATAGAATTTTTTAAGGTTGCTACAAATTTGTTTTATTTAAGACAAATTATAAATAGAAAAATATATATTAAGTAAAAATTTAAAAAAAATTTCGACGCTTTTTCATTAAAAAATAAATAAAAATAGGGGTGACCTTATAATCTTGGAAAAGAGTGTATAGAATTAATTTAACATGCTAAATGTAAAGAAATAAGTAATTTATTTTCAGTTCAAGCTTGTAATACAGGATTTTTGTGGTCATACACATGTACATTCAAATGGATTAGGCAGCAAATGCGATTTTGTTGGTTGGAGTGGAAATTATGGAAGTGGAGAAAATTATACTTTTGAGGTGAAGAAGTTGAAAATTAAAATTGGGATGAAAATCAAATATTACTTCAGCCCGAGTTGTAGTTGTAGAGATGAAAATCAAAGAGGGCTATCTTCCGCTTTTCTAGATGTGGCACTAATGTATCGGGGTCTTTTAGTTCATAATACCCTGAACCTTATTCGGCATGGCTCATCCCTAATGCATTTTATGTATATACAGATGTGCACTAGGGAATAACTTAAATTTTACTTCGGCCCGAGTTGTTTAGTGGAAAGTATGAATCTTTCTAACAGATTTCTGTGGATATTTTTGGCATCTACAAAAAATCCCTACACGTCCTCCTCAAACTATTTATTCAAATTACCCCCCCCCCCCCCGAAAATCCCCCTCTTGTGATTATAATTAAAAAACACATATGTACAGGTTATGCTCTTCTTCACATTTGTTCTTCCTGTTCTTTTTGGTCTGTTTTCTAAAATTCCCAAAAAAATCTTTTATTTAAGTAATATATTGTTACATTCGAATTTTACGAACCCTAAACGAAGCAACTTTTAATTCATTCCATTTAAATGCTGGAAGTTCTCTAGTCCGTAAACACACAAGCAGTTCACATACTAACAGCACATTACTTAATGCTTTAACAGAAGAGAATTTGCCTTCTACTAGCAATAATTCTAATAGCAATACAGCTGGAAATAATTCTGATTTGAATGCTAGAGACTCTTTTACAAGAAGTTCTTTACGCAGTCAGAGGGCTCACAAGACAGTTATGAAGATGTTGAGTGAGTTGACAGTATATGTAGAGGTAGGACCGAGATGAGATCAATCTCGGTTAATTCTCATGTCCGGTTTCGGGTTATAAATTGTTCTTTTCTTTTAAAATTACTGTTAGGTAATGAATCTATCCTATGATTTTTAAGTATTTATTACTCTAGAATTGGGACGAACTCCTCTAAATTTAAAATGATTAGAAAAACTCTAAATTAACAGAAGGACAGACCGAATGGGTTTATTGTTAGCTAGGATTACGTAGGCCTATATAAACTAGAGCTTATCTGGGTTTTGAAGTAACAGGATAAACTGAATAAACTTTAAATTAACACTGGGTAGATCAGCCCTATATACTAAACCTGACTGGGAGTGTCATTCGTATGACTGGGAGTGCCCAGTCAGGGGATAGCTCGAAAAGTCTCTATCTCGATAACCGAGATCTTCATTCGAGATCTAGTCGGATAAATTCGGAAATTTAAATCGTGAATCTATGTAGACACGAATCTAAATCGGGATAGATTCGGGTCCCGATCCAGTCTCTAATTCATACTACCACAATACTTACTGAATTTGTGATGACTAGAAGAAAATGACTGGTCAAATTTTGTTTAAAATAAGATTCACAAATTCTTTTTAAGACTTCTCTTCAATTTTTCCCTTCTAGTTATGATTGCCGCTCTATTTTTTGTCTGCTACCTTCCCTATCATTTGGAACGTTTAATAGTTAAATACAGTGCAAAAGGCTGTACTGAACCGCAGATGTGTCTTTGGCTTTATCACGGTACTGGATTGCTTCAATATATTAGTGCCGCTTTGAACCCGATAATTTACAATGTTATGTCGAGACGATTTAGAAGGGAATTTAAACTTCTTTGCTACAGAATTGTGAAAAAAGAAAATGTGATTAAAAATCGATCTGATAATAATAATCATCTTAAAATGACTCCAATGAATAGATTATTGTAAAATAAAAATGTGAATTTGATTTAAATTGTAATGGGGAAAAAGAGTTAGTGCTTCGACTCCGGAACCCAAATTTGGTAAAAATTGGTGCCGAAGCCAAAAAAGTTAAATAGACTATATTGCCCAATTTTGAAACCTTATTTCAGAACACGTCAAACTTTTACTAACTAAGGTTGGCGGATCCGAATCCGAAAAAGGCTGGATATCCGGAATTTTCGATTCGGATACCGGATATCCGAAGATTTCCAACTATCCGCCAACCTTAGTACTAACAGGTGTAGGTTACAAATAAACTTGTGTACAAGAAACGTCCACGATCGAAAATTTTCCAAAACTTATGTAACTCGTTTTACCTCCCTTACATTTTTGGAAAAATCAATCCTAAATTAATAGAATATAAACTTATCGGATATAAACTTATCTTTGCTTTCAAAATTAAAAATCACAGAAAGAAGCCTTATCCCAAAAAAAATCGAATTAAACTGCCGAAAATTTAATTTTTTAATAAAACCAATTTAACATACACAAAACAAAAAACACTATATAATTTTAAAATTAACTTGTCTCTTTTAACCTATTAAAAAATTATATTCTCTCCCTCAATCTTTATTCTCCTATTTCGTTAAAAGCTTCAAATTTTCAATACACTGGTCCATATATTTTTCTCGAATATTCCCCTCGTTCATTTCGATCATTTTTCGAACCTGAAAAAATTTAAAAATATTACAAAAAAATTTTAAAAATTAACAAATCAGAGTGCAAGGTTTATACAAAATTATAAAATGTGTCCAGAGTGGACCGAAATTTTTTTAAGATTTAAAACCAGACCGGATTTATTCAAGAAAATTCGAACAGATCCAGTTCGGCAAGAATAATAAAACTTAAATTTGGTTCGCGGATCCGAAAAGATTGTTTTGGCTGTCATTAATAAAAACGATAATTTAACAGCAAAGGCGTATCCAGGGAGAAAATAAACCACTTCCGCTAGCACCCCCCCCCCGAAATGGGGGAAAGGAGGAAAATTGGAAGAAGTATGGTCGAAAAAGCCCCCCCTCCCGAAACCGACACCCTGGATACGCTCTTGTTGAAGAGACTATTTTAATAATTCCAAAAATTCCCCACAAAAAACAAACAAACCCCTTCCGTAATAGTCTTCAAATAAACTTCTTTAGCAAAACGCTCTTTAGTCTCCTGAACTTCTTTCAAATAGTCTAAACGTCTTTTAAGCTCAATCCAAGCATATTCAGCGTTTTTACGATAAGCAGATTCTAATTGGAGAGCCAAATTTTCACGCAAAATTGTTGGGAAATTTTCTTGGGTTGCTTTGAATGAATCGGATTGTTCTTTTGAAAACTGGAAAAAAAATAAAATTTAATTTAAAAAATTTTCTAAATAAATTATTTTAAATTTCCTAAGCCCTTGAAGTAGAAATTTTAATTTTTTTAGTTTAAATTTTAAATTAAAATTTAAAAATTTAACAAAATAATTATTCCAGACAAAATTTTTTCAACTTTAATCAAAATTCAGACTTTACATATTAGACATTTATAAAATCAAGAGACAAATATCCCAAAAAATTCCTAATCAATCGCAATCTCCCAACCCTCCACAATTTCCTTTTTCTATTAAAAATATCTTTTTCAGGAAACCCAAAAGTTTGGTTAGTCTAAAATTATTGAAAAAGAAACAAAGGAATATAGTGAGGGGGAGCGGCCAGAAAATCTAAAATAAAATTCAAACCAACAAATATTCACAGAAAATTACCATTTTCAAAAAAAATCCTAATTTTGGTCAGAATTATTGTTTTAAACTCTTTAAAAAACCTTTCTAAAATCAACAGCTTCCTTCAATTCACTCTTAATAAAGTCTTTCCTCTCATCCATTTGGTTTTTATACCATTCATAATAATTTTTCTCAAGTTTGTCTGAAATAAAATTTTTAATAAAAAGTATTTTAAATTAAAAAAACATCCAAAACAATGCTTCAAAAACAAATACATGGGAATGAAAATATAAAGCAATGGCACTCCATGCTCATCAAAACAGAAAATTTCTTTGTTGACAAAAAATGCGGCGATTGTGAAAATTGTCATATATGGACCTGAAAATATTTTTTGGAGGGAAATTAAAATTACTTTTTAATTAAAAGCTAAATTTAAGAGAGTTTGGTCAAAAAAATTTATCACTTTGTGATATCGAAGAATGTTAAAATTTTGTGGAATTGAGAAATTAAAGGACGGTTTAAAAATACAATTCTAAATCTATAAATTTGGTGCCCACTTGTGTATAGAAATTTATTTGCCATTTTTAAACTCATTAAACTCCCCAAATCATTGTTAAGTGGATCAAGAAACAATTTTGGACAAAAAAATTTTTTTCTAATGCGAGGAAAAAATAATGTCTGGTTAAACAGGAATAAACAAATCAACATCCTAGAATTTAAGTACCCACCCCATTTTTATAAAAAAAAATAAAAACCAGAAGTTCCCGTCACTTTCTCAATAGCTTTGCACCAACTATCAGGAATAAGAACAAATCTATTCTTTGCAGGATACAATTGCATCTCCGGGTAGGGAAAATTGACCTGAATTTGAAGCAAGTAAAAAATTCAAAAAAATTAAAAGAAAAACCAAATCCCTCTCAGGAAATTCCTTAAAATCCTTCGGAAGGCTAGGCAACGGGTCATGATGCAATTTCTTCCCAATATTTGCAAGAATCGTCCCAGACTGATCCAAAGGCTTCGTGTCGTTGAAGAATTCCAAATAATAGCTCAAACCCTGAAAATTTTGTTTGAGAAAAGGAAAACTAAAAAAGCCAAAAAAAACCTTTTTCTGTTTTGGCTCAACAACTGGAGTAGTTGTTGCCGCATAATTACGAATTAAAATATTTGAAACTAAAGTCCTCCTTGAAAGCAAAAGTTTGTCCATCATTTTTTTGTGATTCTAAAAAAATTAAAATAAGGTTTATTGTTTATTAGGGAAGAAGGAAGAGAAATTTAGAGGAGAAATGAAAAAATAAAATAAGGAAAAAGTCAAAAGTATAGGTATAATCTTCGAAAACCCTAAGGTTTTCATCTCGTTAAACGACAAGATAATAGAGATTAGAGACCAGAATTTTGAAAAAAACCGGGATCGGAAAACGGGAAATGAAAATTAACCGGCCGGGACCCGGACTGGGAATTCCCGATCCGTTTTATCCCGGCATCTTTAAAAAAGCCGGGAAACGGGACCAGGTCACGATCCCGTTCCGGTCTCTAATAGAGATCGAGATTTTTGAAAAGCCTGGGCCTGTTCTTGGAGATTGATTTATTGATCTGGATCGGATCCTGGGCCTGTAGTCCAGGAAACCCCAGGAAGGTCAAAAAATGTCTGGGCCTGGACTCTGTGTACAGGAAAAACCTAGGCCCTGGTCCAGCCCCAGCTTGATCTCTAGAAGATGATGAAAATCTTGCAAAAAAATAAAAAAAATCCCCAAAAAATCTCCTATTCAACGAAAAAATTTTTTAAACAAAACGCCAAAAGATTAATATTTTGCCAAAATTTTTGTATTTTTCTCTAATGTCTCTCCTTTCTTCATTCTCTTTCTCTTAAAAATTTGATATCAATCGCTATCGAAATTAATCGCTGTCGAAAATCGTGGAAAACGGTGAAAAAAGAAAAAATAGTTCACTGTCGAATTTAGTCGCTGTCGAATTTATCAGACACGCATTTAAGATTTTCAATTTATATTTTGTCAAGTTTCAGATAAATTTCTCTAGCAATGACAACAAATCAACAAACTGAGCAAATTCAAAATATGGGCAAATTATTCAAATTACAAGGGAAAATTGGTTTTTTAACTAAAGAAGTTTCTGAAGACGAATATTCTTGTGGTGGAGGTTTGGTTTAAATTATTAGAAAATTGAAAATTTTTGTATCCAATGTTCTGGATAGGATTCTGAGTGGTCCTTTAATTTTTAGTTGGGGAAACTCACGGGTCTAGAAAGAATGCCTTGGCTCTGACAAGGGAACGTCTATTATTGAGACTGCGAATTTAGTATTGTTTCTTGGTATCATTCGATAGAGGACCCCTGACTTCCTATTGCGAAGGGATATTCGTTTTCTTGATAAATGACTTTGGGATCCCGTTATGGCCGTTTAAAGTTTCCAGTCCTTAGGGGTAGTTGAGTATAAGGAAAAGAGTAATGAAGGGAACTATGTTTTTATTTTCATTCTCTGCTTTCTTCACATAGTCTTACAAATAGGAAAAACGAAAGCAAGAGGCCTGACGAAAAAAAGAGGGAAGAAAAATGTCTGACCCTAAGATGGGGGTTTGTGGGGTTTTTAAGAAAATTAAAGGGGGGGGGGGGGGGGAAAGTCAGAAAAAACCCCTTAGGCATGGTTCCAAACACAGTCTCGATTTTAGCTTCTTAAAAATTGTAATTTATTTTCAGTTTCTCAATCGAATCCTTGTGGACAACATTTAAACAAACTTTTGAGTCTGAAAGGAATGGTTGATTTATTTGTTCGTGAAATACCAGAAGAGCTGTATCATTCAAAATATAAGAATCCTGTTGCTGTTTTTGATAAAGGTTAATGTTAATTATATTTTGGTAGGGAAAACTTTAGCTCCAAACTTTCATATCTCAGGCTTTTCGATGAGAGCTTATATTTCCTTGAATAATTTTTGTAAATCGAAAGTTATGGACTTTATAGTATTGGGCTGTGCTGCTTCCAAACTCGTCACAGACTTTTGGGAGGGAGGAATTTGAAAGTTGAGGAAGCGCTGGAGACTTGTAGTGTTACAACAAGGAGATTATATCATTGATTGAATTTGTTTATTGAGAAAAGACGACATTAATTGTGTTACAACCCATTATTTAATGATCTTCAGCAAGGTTGTCGGATAGTTGGAAACCTTCGGGTCCGAATCCGACAACTTTAATCTTCAGTCCTTCAACAAATAAGCCTTAAATTCATTATTCATATTCGTTATAAAAATATAAAAATCAATTATCTATTAATACTTTATTTTTACTACATAAATATCAGACTAATCGAACAGTGGATTACATTTTTAAAAAATAATTTTAATATATGTATTTTATTCCTTTTCTTCAGTACTTTTTGGATATGCCCCCTCCCCTCCTAGTTTGGTTCTCATTATTTCCTTTTTCATTTATGATTTTATTTGGTCTAACAATAACATTTATTCTTAACTAGGGTTGCCGTTTTCGAATCGGGCCGACGTTCGAGTCATTTTTTCGAGCCTCATTTTTATTGGCCGGGCCGGTCGATTCTTTTTCGGGCCAAAAATCGAAGCCCGATTCTATCTTCGAACCAAACCGGGCAGGCAACCATATTCCTTACACTTATCGTAAAAGCTCTAATAGAAGCCCTAGGCCTATTTTCACTACCCCCATCGTGTGGACCTATAATAGGGCACTGGCTTCTATTAGGGATGGGCTTCTATTAGAGCTTTTACGGTATATTGCTTAAGAAAAATAAATCAACGGCATGAAGAAGGGAAAAATAAATGATGCCCAAACTTGGAAGGAGGGGGGGGGGTTGCTTATCCAAAAAGCACTCTTTCTTCTTTTGTTGCTAAATCCCATTTAATTATCATCATTCTTCTCTTCTTTTGTTGGATTCTGTTCTTCTTCGCTTTCCTCATCTTCAGGCCTTTTTTCAGAAATAACACAGGCTTCTTCAAAATTATTCCCTTCATTTCCATAATTAATTTGTGGATTAACAGATGAAGTCCCTTCTCTATTATCAGCTTGAATCGGAAGAACTTGTCGAGCTCTCATTTCTAGACGGTATTTTTGATTTCTTTCTCGCATTTTTTCTTTATTCTGTTGGTAGTATTTTCGATTTAATTCTCTCAGGTTTGCTCTATTCTGTTCGTAGTAGTTTCGATTATATTCATGACGTCTTGCATTATTCCTTCGGTAGTGGTCTCGATAGACTTCTCTTCTATTTTTTCTAAAATATAAATTTGAATTATATTTTAAAAGAACAAATCGTGTCCAAAATTGGGTTAAGTAATCCAATCTAATTAAAAAATATCTTAGCGTATTCACTATATTAAAAATAAATTAAAAGGCAGCCTTTGCCATCATCAACCAAATTTAAAACGTTAACTAAAACGAGAGGTATCTAAAATGGTGGTGCTAAAAACCGAAATCCGACTAATTATGAAAGAAGTGAGAATTAATTTGGCTGTGTTTTTGCACATTGCTCTAAGACCTCTAATTTTTCAGCTTCCGGATCTCGTTTTTTGAATCCAATGTGTTCGCTAAAATGAGGTCCAATGCTGGGTATTGGGCATTTGTTGGCCCGGCTCCAGGCTTTTAAAACCTTTAAATTAGGCCCCGGCTTTCAAAATCCTAGTTCGCGGAGCCATACCCAGCAGTGATGAGGTCCAACCGCATTTAGTCTCTTTAAATGCCAATTACAGCACAAATTTCACTTAACCTTCGTATAAATTCCAACCTTGCATTTTCTTTTTTCTTCCTTTCAATTTCCCTTTCAATTTCCCTTTCTTTCTCTTCATAGTAGTCTTTAAATTTATTGCTTAATTTACTTCCTATTTCACGTCCAAATATCCCTTTCATTTTATTTTTGTTAATTTTGGTTTTTGGCTCTTCATTTTGACTTTCCGTTTTACCCGACGATTCAGCCTCATCATTCGATTTTTTATTTTTATCTTTTGGATTAGAACCAGTTTCATTTAAATCTTTTTGATCTTCATTTTCCATTGAAGTAATTAAACTCCATAATATTCCATTGAATATTAAAAGGATCAAAATATTACTAATTTTCATCCTAAATTACCGTTTTTACTAGAGAGGGGCTGGATCTGGATCCAGACCTCGATTTTTCCTGGATCTAGAGTCCAGATCAAGGCATTTTTCAGAGTTCCTTGATTTTTCCTTGATTCAAGGTCAAGAATCTGGTCAAGGTACCCAACCAAAATCAAGAATCAAGGTTTTAGAAATGCTAATTTATACTATTTTTATGAAGACAATTATTGTTTCAACCTCTGGCAAGGAAAATTAATATGTAGGAAAGGGGGGGGGTTTATTTGAGTAAACAAGATAAAAGAAAATATTTGCTTAAAAATTTTTTTTATATTTTTGTTTTTTTTAAATTAAACAACAAGTTTAAAAGATAGATTTTGTTTACATGAATGCCCTTTTTACATGACTAATAACTATTATGAAATGGATTTATAGGCTGTAAAATGCCGACAAAGTCAAAAAATATTAATTTATACATAGTCTGAGAAAATAAAAAGAAAATATTTTTTTTTGCACCTTTCTGTCAAAGAAAATCTTTCTCAATATCCCCTCCCCATGATCTCACTCAAGTTTTGTATTGTTTTTTCGAATTTGAAATTTTTTCTAAAAATCCTGATAGGCACTATATAGACTGACATTGAGGGCACTATTAGATCATTCAACACTTTTTTTCTGTTTCTAATTTTGATCATTTATAGGGCAACTTTCTCTAACAAAAAGCTATAAGGAAAAACAGATGGAAGAAGACAGAAAAGTATCAGAAGAAAAGGAAATTGCCGAAAATGAGGAAAATGAACAAATGGAAGTTTAATAAAATTGTTGAAAATTTTTATATTTTATTAAAGTTTATTTAAATAAATAATTTTGTTGCTTTTTTTAAATTTTTTTACACTCTGACAGAAAATGAAAAGCACCCCCTAGTTTTAAATAGAAAATATGATTAAAGTTATAATATCATAGTTTAAAATATTTTTACAAATTTATAATTCATATTCGAATGAAAAAAAGATATAAATTATTTATGAGTAGTAGGGGATATAACAGGTATCTCCTATAAGACGACTGTCAGATAATTATAAGCACCCCTTAACTTTCGGAATTAGGGCTAATATTTTCTCTAATATTTTCTTTATTATGTTGAAAATATTTTTTTCGAATATAAATAATTAATCTGTTAAAATTTTTATTTATAGTACTAGTTCAAGTTTGGTGAATTAATAGCTGGGGGATAAGGATAGAGAGAGATATGGATGGATCTAAAGTATGTATTATTATTTAAAATGAAAATATATACATATTTTATTTAGTTAAATTTATTTGTGATATCCAGTGATTTATTTAAATTAATGTAACCCACACAATGTTAAACATATTAATATAAACTAGAGCTGTCCATGAATCCTGGTCTTGAGTCTCAACTCTTTTCTTGGGGTTTTCCGGTCATGCTCTTGCGACGCTAAATATCGAAATTTTTGCGCCTTCGACAGCGAAAGCAAAGTATTTTCTTTAAGTCTTATTATATCTTCTATAAATACCTCAACATTATCTGAACATGTTTGCTTTCCATACCCAATTAAACGAATTGCATGCCCTAGTGGGTTTTTGTTTGTTGTTCTCTTAAATTTTATTAAGTTGATAAATAACAATTAAAAATTATTAGTTATCAAATAGGTAAATTAGCAAAGACCTTGTTCACAAATACCCCACCCTGTAGAGAGGTTCTATATTACCTTATAAACTCCTTCACCATAATGATAGAAATCATCATAAACATCCATTACACCCGTAATTGGACCGTTTGCTTTAATTTCTGCCTTCATTGTCTTAACTGCTTCAGAAACAGCCATATTCGGCAAAATCTGACCAGTTGATATAACTAAAGTATAATGAAAGTAACAAATTGCCTAATATACTTAATATAAATACCAAATTTCTTATCATTATTATATTGAATTGGCCATTTTGAATTAGTACATTTCGAGACACATTGAGGTGTGTGACCAGGGGTTGCTGGATCAATAGAATATGGTTTGCAACCGGTCTTTTGTTCAAAATTTGATCCAGAGACTACACCACTCTTTTTCATGTATTGCCATGCATAGTATGGAGATCCACCGTTACATCTAGATTTATTTTTGTGGTATAAATTAATTTTAAGCTATTAACCCGCTAGTCGATGGTGCGCAACTAAGAATTTCATCATCTGATGACTGATTATCAGGATCAGAGACTGGTGTATTTAAGCCTTTCTTAGCTCTCTCAATACAGTACCGATCAGTAAATGTAGATGAACTTGCCACTGCCCAACAATCCCCACATTGGCCTTGATTTCTAATAATGTTGATTATATCTGCACATTGTGGCCATTGTTTTCTTGAATCAAATTCGATATTGTAAGTACAGGAAGGATTTGAACGCTTTGATCGTAGTTTGCTGTTTGCTTTAAAATTTGGCAGAGCTGTGGGAGTTTTGGGTGATCTTGTGTTTACACCACACATTAATTTTCTGGTATCCGACGTCATATTTGCAAATTTCTCGTTGAATTTTGCCTGAATAAAATTTTAAAAATACTTTTTTTATTCCCAAATTACCTTCCAAGTAAAATCTTGTAAGTTAAATGATTCAACGAAAGATTTAATATCTTTATCGATATCAAAGTCAAAATCAAATTCCTTTTCAAATATATCAAATTCATCAGATTGAAAGGTGTTATGTATTAGATAGAACAATACAAAGCAATGTAGACAAGGAAAATTCTGAAACAATTTGAATTATTATTTGGCATAAATCAAAACTGTTAGGGTCAAGGTAAAGAGTTTAGCCTGCAACTTTCAGCTGAATATGAACAAAAGATTTCCATAGCCTTTTTAAAGCTTAGTCCATCTTACTTCCCTGAATATGAACAAAAGATTTCCATAGTCTTTTTAAAGCTTAGTCCATCTTACTTCCCAACGGTTTTCTCAAGAAATAACTAATGGCTCTATAATTTAAGCTTAGATAATGGCGGCTTATAGCTATCTATGATTGTCGGTTTATGGTGTTCCTTTATTTTAAAAACTTCCATTACTTTGAACAACTATTGCTCTTCACAATATGTAAATCCATATAAATCCGGGCTCTACTTATAACTATAATAAGTTTTCGACACTTTTTCAGCAATATAAAAGCTATAGGTATACTCAATGGTATTTCTTGGCTTATCTCCCAAATAATCGGCAATCAACTATTAAAAACATCTTAAACTTAGTTTTAACTAGTATTGTGTGAGGGTTTAATAATTTTAAAAATTATAGCAACTAACCATATTTTAATGAGGAATTAAATAAAAGCTGGTAATAATGTTGCTTATACCCTTCAGTCATTATAATATTTATACACTTATGTTTAGCTAAAATCTATCGTTAGCGCTTAATGAAACGTGGGTTGTGGTACGCGATTTAAAATTTATAAATTAAAAAAAGATGATCAAATAAACATATCTACGTAAAATAAAAAATTTTTGTTATAATTTTGTGTTCCATGAGATTTTCGTTTGTTTTAGTAAAAATTATAGAAATAAAATTTATCTTAATTCTGTCATGTCAGCATGTTAAAGGAAAAATGAAGATTAAACATACCTTTTAAAACGTGGAATATAATTGGCGATAAGGAGATTCAGTTAATGCTAAGGCTAATGGGAAATAAAATGAGAATTTTTTTAATTTTTAAAAAATTTTTACCAATCTTTTTTTTACCAAAAAATTTTTAAAAATTTCTTTTTATTTTTTATGTGGTAATTTCGCACATATTCCTTCTTATAGTAATTTTAGTATAACCCAGGGCTTCGATCTCGAATTTTTAAAAATCCACAATTTTTATATGTATAAAAAATCCACATTTTATATTAAAAATCCGCAAACAATTATCAAACACAAAAATAGAATTAAAATAACTTTATGCGTTATTTTTGACGCCAACAATTGAATTTAGCATTTTTCTCACTACTAATGACTACTATCTTATTAAAATCCGAACAATTAAATGAAAAATTACAGTTGTCTTGAGCCAATGCTTTCACCGTCCCTAGTTATAGTGAATTGTTTTTTTCTCAATTTTGGAAGATCCTCATAATTTTCAAAGGACCACAAAATTCCGCAAATCCGCATTTTTAAAAATAATCCTCATCGACTTATCAAATTATTTTAAAGTTTAATTATTTTAAATTTTTAAAATTCATAAATTAATATAAATTTAAATATTGATAAAATACCTAATTAAATTAATTATTTATATTATATATTTTGAATACCAATGTCGTTTTCATATTATTTTATTTTTAAATGTCTTTTCTGCTCACAAATAATACTTGGTAGTTGACGTTATCTTTAACGTATTTATTTTGACCATATTTATCTTTAACCATATTTATTTTATATTATAAAAAAGTGATTATAAAAAATTGGAAAAATACCGCGGTATACCGTACCGTGCCGAACACTAGTTTTTTATCGGTATAGTTTTAATATTTCAAATAATTTTTAACAATTCTCTTATAGAATCTTTTATTCTTATTTATTACGTGTTTACATTTTTATAGTTAAACATAATTATTTAAATTATAAATTTACACCGCTTTTATAATTACAAATGTAGTTCTTGGTCGGTTGGAAAACTTTTATCGTAAATTTAGAAAAAATTATGTTTTCTTGTTTAGATTAATATTCATATTTATTTTCATTTAATCGAAATTTAAATTATTTAATTTAAATTATTTAAAATTTAAATTATTTAATTTATTTTATTATAATAAATAAAATCATCATATAAAATTCATCATATATAATGTTTGCTACCCGTAATCTATCCCGACACTGCTCACTGAATTGCCTCGGGATGACGTCATTCATTAAATTAATTTATTTTTATATCTTTTATTAGTTTTTATGGCTTTAATATTTTTCGTTGCAATTTTTAATATTATTTAGGATCCGCTGTTTTTTTACATGTATACTTTATTTATTTTTCATTTTATTTTTGAATAAACCACTATTAAATGCTGATTAGATAAGCAATCTTTGAATGTTTCTAAGGATTCTTCTTAGTTTTAATGAATATTTATTTTTTAAATAATATTTAATAATTTAATTGTTGTATAATTAATAAAGTTCTTTTGATAATTTTTATTAAAAGAAATGTAATTTTGTGTTAAAAAATACATTTAATTGTTTAGTTATTTATATAGAAGTTCTGATAATATTACAAATTTGTATTTTTTTATAAATAATGTTTATTCATGAAGTTTTCGTCCATTCGTAACCAAAAATTCTTCTTTTCCAAAAATAGTAAATTATTCCTACTTCTTCAAAAGTTTCTTCCTTTTAAAGATTATTTAATACTTTTCCTCAAAAAGTTAATTTCAATTACTTACTACAAGAATTTCCTAATTTAGGCGAAGAAAAACAATTCTTTTTAAAAAAATTTTATCTTTTTATTACAAAGACTGAACAATGAATAAAATTTTTAATTCATATATAAAAGAGTCAAGCTCTTTTTAAACACATCATTTAAGAATGTATTGATTAATTTTAAATAATTAATAAATTTTTATAATCTTCAGTGGCAATTTTAAATCTAGCTCTTTAATTTTATTTTTAATCGACCTTGCATTTTGATGTATGCATTTTATTTCATTTTTTTATTTCAATAAATAAAATTTTAATTAACTTAAATTTCAAAATCATTTTTCATAAATTTTACATTATGAATTAATTTAAGTATTTTAGTAAATCATCACAATATTTATTATAACAACATTATGTTAGCTTATATTTAATTTTTTTTATTTAAATTTGGTGAATTAGAATTCTGAAATATTTTAACATTTCAGGCAATTTTTTCAGTTTTGCTTTTCTGTATTTTGTTAAGATTCGGCATTTAATTTTAATTGTTTAGGATCAGAGATACATCTATAATTTAATTCTATAAAAATACAAAATACAACTTTTTATATTGCTTTTGTTGATAAAATATTTGGAATTTTTTAACTTTTATAATTAAAATAAAGTTTAATTATTTAATTTTTTCAACTTTATTTGTGACAAATGTGTTTTTACAACTTTAAACTTGGAAAATTATTTAAAAAAAATAGAATTTTATATATCATATAATTTCTTATTATTTGCAACTTTAATTATTTTTGATATTTTGAATTATTTAAAAAAATTTAATTTCTTGAATTTAATATTTTCTCTATATTATTTAATTTATATAATTTTTCTAATATTTTATTGTTATCTATTCTTTTGAAATGGCAGAATCGTCGTTGTTAAAAATGTATTATTATCTCTCAATATAACTATAATTACGTAGTAACATTTTTATGTACTAAAATTTTATAAATATAAAAGTTTGATAATAATTAGTATTGTTATTAAATACATTTCATAGATACATATTAACCATAGATATTAATTCAAAGGAGAATTTACACCCGTCTCCAATGGTCGTGCAAGTTTTTAGTTTGTAAGGCTAGTGTAGATTAATTTTTCTGTAATTTTATTTACTTTTTAAATTGTAAAATTCTGCATTTTAAGTGACATATTTGTTTAAAATTATTAAGAATTACAAATATTAAAGAATAACTTTGCATTTATTTTTTATTAAATTTATTTGAAATAAATAAAAATATTCTTTACACTATCTGAATTTATGAAAAAGTTCTTCTCCTTCTAGAAGTAGTGTCTAGTGGATTTTAATGAATAGGGATTTTGTTGGTTGTCAGATAGAAGTTTAAGAGAATTTATTTAAAATATTTATCTACTTTTAATATTTGAAAATTTTGTGATAAATTTGGGTGGGCAGAGGGGCGAACTCAAAGGCAATTAATAATGAATACACAAATACACAAGTGAAATGTGGGCTTAAATAGGCAGAAAATAGGGAGGGAACACATTAAATTATAAAAACACTACATGAAATCTATTATATTTAATGTATAATTTTACATTTTAAAAATAATTTTAACTTGATATTTTCCTATAATTCCTGCAAATTATCTGTTGCTTGTTTAAATTTATAAAATTGAAAGCAATTAAAATTCTATTTTGT